ATCAGGACATCAGTGTTGGTTCTGGGGAGGGACGTGTGGTGGTCAGGTTCAGTAAGTAAATTATCTTGGGAGGGAACATGAAATTAAGATGTGTGTGTTTGTGTACATGTGCGTGTGTTCAAATTGAGAAGCAAATCCAAATCTGAGCAAGAAATGTGAAGTTTCCCTGGGATTCTCATAAACAGATTTTCAATGACCCTTAAGTATAATAATTGCTAATGAGTGAGGTAATGAGTGATTCTTCTGGGCAGGCACTGTGACACAAGCTATGTGTGCGCCTAATCCTTAAAACAAAGCCGGGAGGTGGTTACTATTCTTTCCATGTTTTACAGATATAATGAGTCTTAGATAACTTTCCAAGAGGAAGCACCTACTAATTTGCAGACTGAACACCAAAACCTGAGTCTGCCTGACTCTAGAACCTTGGTTCTGCCAGTCAGTATCCAGTTAGTAAACCACAAACCACTATAGATACTTCAAAGAGTGAGGGATTCCAGGCAGGTAATAGGTTACAAAGATGTTGGAAGGGCAGGAAAACAAAAAGAGGAAGGCAGTGTTATGGAAGCTCAGGGCACTCGCTGCAGAAATGGCCAGCCCTGCTACTGAGCGGCTGCTCCTTGAACTCTGCTAATGTTGCAAGGGCCATCACTGCCAAGATGTAGCTGACATTGCTGGAGCCTGAGTCATTGGTATTGCTAGTATTGATGTTTCTGCTGCTAACTGAAAGCCATCAATACTGCCACTGCTTGTGCCATCTTTAGAAGTAGAATGCCTTTTGTCATCTTCCTGCCTTTTAATGTTGTACATATGCCTTCAATTGGCGTATGTACAACATTAATCAAGCCCAGATGGCAAGGAAGATGAGCAATTATAGTTTTCAGGCTTCCAACCGTGGCAGTCAAAGGAGAGTGTGGAAGTCAAAGGCTGGAGCTCAGAGCCTAATCAAGCCCAGATGGCAAGGAAGATGAGCAATTGTAGTTTTCAGGCTTCCAACCGTGGCAGTCAAAGGAGAGTGTGGAAGTCAAAGGCTGGAGCTCAACAGAAATTAACCAGCCACAGCACTTTACTATCACATCACAGTGCATTTATTAACACTGTGGTGATAAGCCCTGAAATGTGATATTATAGCATCAGAGTACTTATAGAGTCTTTAAGTCATTTATTCTAGTTCAGTCTCCCATTTTATACTTGAGAAAACCTAAGTCCAGAGAGGAGAACTGACCTGCTTAAAGCCAAACTGAAATGATTTTTTTGTTTTACACCAGTGTTATATAATTTAGTTAAGACCCAAATGCATCTGATTCTCTGAGTTCAAACCAACTGTAGAAAGAGACAGTTACAATATGCTGTAATACGTCCTCTCATTATGATGACTGGGTTTTTTAGAGGGTTTTGTTCAATGGTTACTTATTTTCTCACTGGAATGAAGTGAGAGCTTGCTGTATAGAGCACAGAGACGAGGCTTGTAGTTCTACCCCAGCCTAAGTCAGAGACCCCTGAGGGAGGACTTGAAAGGAGATAAGAACAGATGTATGGACCCTGTTGCACCAGACTGTGATAGGCATTAGAAATGAGACTTGGGCATGGGAACTCCTTATTGCCTGAGCTGTGGAACTGTAAGTTGGTGATGCCTTTAGAAAAAGGGAGTAAGAAGATGTAAAAACCTATCAATCTTAACTTTTGTTCTGGGAGAAGAGTAATTGGGAGCATTCTAGAAGGAACTATCTGTTTCGTAATCTCAGATGTGTTACTTTAGATGAAAACAATGAACTGAGGCTACCTCAGTTCTAGACACAGTTCTGGAGTGTATCAATTCTGTGACTTTTGGCAAAACATTCCCCCTTCCATGTACTTATTTTGTCATCAATAAAATACGATTGTTAAGTCTACTTTTTTATTTTTACATGTAGACTTATAAGTATGATTCCCTTGGCCAGTTTATGATTGAGGAAAAGTTATTTCTATACAATTAACAGTACTTTGGTTTTCTTTCCCCAGTATGTCAGCCACCTCCAGAAATCCTGCATGGTGGGCATACCCTAAGCAACAAGGGCAACTTTTCCCCCGGGCAGGAAGTGCTGTACAGCTGTGAGCCCGGCTATGACCTCAGAGGGGCTGCTTCTCTGCGCTGTACACCCCAGGNAAGTAGAATGCCTTTTGTCATCTTCCTGCCTTTTAATGTTGTACATATGCCTTCAATTGGCAGAGCCTAATCAAGCCCAGATGGCAAGGAAGATGAGCAATTGTAGTTTTCAGGCTTCCAACCGTGGCAGTCAAAGGAGAGTGTGGAAGTCAAAGGCTGGAGCTCAACAGAAATTAACCAGCCACAGCACTTTACTATCACATCACAGTGCATTTATTAACACTGTGGTGATAAGCCCTGAAATGTGATATTATAGCATCAGAGTACTTATAGAGTCTTTAAGTCATTTATTCTAGTTCAGTCTCCCATTTTATACTTGAGAAAACCTAAGTCCAGAGAGGAGAACTGACCTGCTTAAAGCCAAACTGAAATGATTTTTTTGTTTTACACCAGTGTTATATAATTTAGTTAAGACCCAAATGCATCTGATTCTCTGAGTTCAAACCAACTGTAGAAAGAGACAGTTACAATATGCTGTAATACGTCCTCTCATTATGATGACTGGGTTTTTTAGAGGGTTTTGTTCAATGGTTACTTATTTTCTCACTGGAATGAAGTGAGAGCTTGCTGTATAGAGCACAGAGACGAGGCTTGTAGTTCTACCCCAGCCTAAGTCAGAGACCCCTGAGGGAGGACTTGAAAGGAGATAAGAACAGATGTATGGACCCTGTTGCACCAGACTGTGATAGGCATTAGAAATGAGACTTGGGCATGGGAACTCCTTATTGCCTGAGCTGTGGAACTGTAAGTTGGTGATGCCTTTAGAAAAAGGGAGTAAGAAGATGTAAAAACCTATCAATCTTAACTTTTGTTCTGGGAGAAGAGTAATTGGGAGCATTCTAGAAGGAACTATCTGTTTCGTAATCTCAGATGTGTTACTTTAGATGAAAACAATGAACTGAGGCTACCTCAGTTCTAGACACAGTTCTGGAGTGTATCAATTCTGTGACTTTTGGCAAAACATTCCCCCTTCCATGTACTTATTTTGTCATCAATAAAATACGATTGTTAAGTCTACTTTTTTATTTTTACATGTAGACTTATAAGTATGATTCCCTTGGCCAGTTTATGATTGAGGAAAAGTTATTTCTATACAATTAACAGTACTTTGGTTTTCTTTCCCCAGTATGTCAGCCACCTCCAGAAATCCTGCATGGTGGGCATACCCTAAGCAACAAGGGCAACTTTTCCCCCGGGCAGGAAGTGCTGTACAGCTGTGAGCCCGGCTATGACCTCAGAGGGGCTGCTTCTCTGCGCTGTACACCCCAGGGAGACTGGAGCCCTGCAGCCCCCAGATGTGCAGGTGCCTAGACTCTCATCTGACTTGACATTTTTAGCTTGTGTCTTTATTCTGCACATGCCATTGTTATTTCTGTTTGTTTTTCTTTTTCTCCAGTAAAATCATGTGATGAGTTTCTGGACCAACTCCCTAATGGCCGTGTGCTGTTTCCACTTACTCTCCAGCTTGGGGCAAAGGTGTCCTTTGTTTGTGATGAAGGGTGAGTATGAGCTTGCCTGAACTGCTGGGCATTGAAGATAGCCTTAGGAGTTTGTCCAAAAAGGGAGGTTTGTTGTGGCTTAAAAAAAAAAGAAAAGGAAGAAATATTCAGGGAGATTAACTATTAGAAGTGTATGTAGGAAGTAAGAATAAGGAACATGTAGAACTAATAACATGAGACATGAAGGAGGAACTGGGACATATATCAATGGCAGGTTCAAAGGCCAATACGACTACTGGTTATAAATATGTACAAGTGATACATTAAATGTAAAAATCATATTTTCCAAGCAAAAGGGAATAAGAATAACTTGGAGAGTCCAAGAAAAAATATTTTTCTTTATATGTATATATTTTTAATTGAAATATAATTAATTGTACATATCTGTAGGGTACAGTGTTGAATATCAATACCTGTGTGTAATAAGTGGTGCTCAAATCAGGATAATTAGTATTTTCAGCAAAGCTCATTACAAATAACTAAGATCATCTAAGAATTGTTTCAGGAGAATTTTTAAACCACCACTGGTGAAATGTGTAATAGGAGTGAAAACGTAAGAATAAGCATTTTAAAAATCCAATCATATATCACCTGGTTAGTAATTTCAGAGTATGGGCTCTGAAATGGGATCATGATGGTAAGGTCATTAAGTTGTTTATGGGGATCTGCTGGTCTTCAGAGTGTGCACGTCTCTACATGGTAACTATCATGCATGGGCAACAAATCACCTGACCTCAAAATGCTCCAAAGAATCCTTGGCAGGCTCCAAACACCAGCACCCAGTATGATTCAGAAGGGCATCAGAGTCCAACATGCGTGGAGAATTTTAGATGATTTCATACAAAAATTATTCCTTTTTTCCCTAGAATATTCAGACTTACCTTTCATCAGCCCAGTATGCTGTGGTGAGCCTTCTTCACGACCATCACTCTTACAGATGCCCGTTATTCTCCGCTTTTCCATTCCAAACTGGGAGCTGTTTTAGTTGCTGTTCCAGGG